AGAGTGAGACTCTGTCTCAAAAAAAAACAAAAAACAAAAAACAAAAAACACTGTTGGGATTTTCATGGGGATTGCATTGAATCAGCAGATAGTATTAACATCTTAACAATATTAAAGCTTCCAATCCATGAACACAAGATGTATTTCCCTTTATTTGTGTCTTCTTTAATTTCTTTTAGCAATATTCTTTTGCAATATTTAGCAATATTTCGGTGTACAAGTATTTTATTTCCTTGATTAAGTTTATTCCTAAGCATTTTATTAAATATTCTTGTTGTGGCTATTGTAAACAGGGTTTTAAAAAATTTCCTTTTATAATTATTCATTATCAGTGTATAGAAACACAGCTGATTTTGTGTGCTGATTTTGTATCCTACAATTTTACTGAGTTAATTTATTAGTTCTAACAATTTTTGTGGAATATGTCACATTTTCCACATATAAGAGCATATCATATGTGAACAGACATAATTTTACTCCTTGCTTTATAATTTGGATACCTTTTCTTTTCTTTTCTTGCCTAACTGTTCTGGCTAGAACTTCTATTACTATGTTGACTAAAAGTGGTCAGAGTGGGCAACCTTGACTTGGTCTTGATCCGAGAGGAAAGGCTTTCCGTCTTTCATTATTGAGTATGATGTCAGCTGTGGGATTTTCATATATGGCTAGTTTGTTGAGTGTTTTTATCATATAAGGGTGTTGAATTTTGTCAAATGCTTTTTCTGCATCAATTGAGATAATCATGTGGTTTTATCTTTCATTCTGTTAATGTGGTATATTAGACTGGTTGATTTTTTTTGTATGTTGAACCATCCTTGCATTCCAGGAATGCTCTGTGCATTGTACCACTGAAAAAGCCAGGCCCTTTCCTATCCCTTAGTGGAAGGCATAGAACTAGGAAAGCAACAATTGCCTCATGACAAAGATTTTCCATTTCAATAGACGCATAGCTAAAAGAGCCCAGAGAACTCTTCTGTCCTTAATCATGGGGAGAATCTAGAGCTGGCAGAGATACAATCAGGTTCTAAAGAGGATATTGTTTTTAAAGCACAGAATATGTCAGTAAGTCATCATAAAGTCATAAGATGTTTTACTTATGCTATAATTTGAATGTTTGTCCCCCTAAACCTCATGTTGAAATCAGATTCCCAATGTTGGAGGTGAGGCCTGATGGAAGGCGTTTGGTTCATAGAGGTGGATCCCTCATAAATGGCTTGCTGCCATCCTTCCTGTAATAAGCAAGTTCTTGCTCTATTAGTTTCCACAAGAGCTGGTTGTTCAAATGAGTCCCCCTCTTCTCTCTCTCTTGCTTCCTCTCCTGCCATGGGATCTCTGCACGCGCTGGCTCTGCTTTGCTTTCTGCCACAAGTGGGTGTAGCCTGAAGCCCTCACCAGTGTAGATGCTGGTGCCATGCTTCTTGTACAGTCAGCAGAACCATGAGCCAGATGAACCTCTTCTCTTTATAAATTGCCCTGACTCAGGTATTTCCTTATTGCAGCACAAGTGGACTAAGATAACTTAACATATATTGTTTACTTGATCACTTTTGTGAACAAACACTTAAAGCAGGATTACATTAATAGCACTGAGATAAATATTAAAAAAAAAAATTAATCTACCAAGCCTGATGTCAAGGAAAAGATCTAACTCCTCAATGGAAGAAATGGTATCTCCTTTCTTGCCTCAATAACATAGAGTACGACATTCTTGTAGAAACAATACAATATGCATTTGGTCACTCGAAAATAATTCCAGGTTCCATGAACCAACAGAAGCTTCTCCAGGTAGCTAAACTGAAAAACAGAAACAACAGTCAATTCAAGTTCAAATGAACCTACTATTTAGCAAAATCCACAAAATGTCATTTTCCCAGTATTTCACAACTCAGCAGTTCCCTCTGTAGAGAATACAACACCCCAAAAGTGAGCAGAATAAAACCAATTCCATTGACAACCTGTCACGGCAGTTCACTATAAAGGAAATTAACTTCTCTTATTGTTCAAAAAAAAAAAAAACAACCCCATTAAATATCACTTTTTTGCCCAGCAAGTACTTGTTGCATGCATGGCTTTTAATTAAATCTTATATACATTTAGGATCTTAATAATGAGAAGGTGTCAAAATTATTTAATGAAAAGATCATCCAGCTAGGCCAAGGTGGAGGGTACCTGTAGTTCCAGCTACTGTGGAGGCTGAAGTAAGAAGCTCACTTGAGCCCAGGAGTTCGAGGTTACAATGAGCTACGATTGTGCCACTGTACTCTAGCCTGCATGACAGAGTGAGATCTTGTCTCAGAAGATAAAAAAATAAAAAGAACATATTGAGATGAGGTGAAGTAACAAAGCCTTACAGGAAATCAGTCTCTCATTTCTTAAATAAATTAAAAGAAAAATAAACAAAACTTTAAAAGGGAGGTAACGGACCACTTCTGTAGCACTGCTCAGCCTTCTCACCCTCACGCACGTTTCCTTTTCCACAGCCCTCATCACTTTCTAGTGTAAGATGTGCTCGACTTGTTTATTGTGTTGTCTTGTATTTTTACCCCCTAGAATGGAAGCTCATTGTTTACTTTATGTGCTGATGAGTCCTGGACACCTACAAACATGCCCAGGATGTGCTGGGCACTCAATAAACATTTTTTGAACAAACAAATATTCAGGAGAGTTATTCCACAAAATGAGGTAATTCATAGTGATTTAGTGACTCCTAGATTTAAATACCAACTTCAAAATAGCAGCAGTTGGTACATATGGGAAAACTAAACCTTTTTAAGAAGTCTATTTAAGTGTTGGGCCAATAAAGGGGGCAGGACAGGGAGAGAAGCATTGAAGTATAAAATGCATAGCTAAACCAAAAATAAGTGAATTTAAAAAGAAAGGTGTTTGTTTTTAAACACAGAGTCTAATATTAAACTTGAGTCATTATAAACAACATTGTTATTGTCTCAATTTTTAGCATTGCAATGATTTATTTTCAGGGAAAAAATTCTAAATCAAAGTTCTATTTCTTAGGATGATTTAAAAATATTACAAACTTTGGGGAGGGTTCAGTGAGTAATGTACTTTCTTCAGAAAATAAAGAGATCTCCGTTTTGAGCAGAACGCTATGCTGATATGCTCTGGGAAAGGGGAAAGCTTTACCAAGGGGCACAAGGTAAAGGATGGTGGTTTGACACCCTGCTGCAGTGCAGGTAGGGTGAAGGCAAATAGAGTAGAAGTGGAAAAATGTCCACCACAGTTCTGGGTGAAAAAAAGTCATTTTGGAAAAAGTATAAAATGGCACACACCATGGCTGAATAACCTCTCCCTACCTCCAGCCCAGGCTGCTCTCAGTTAAAGAAAGATGGGAAACAAAAATCGATGCAGCTTAAAGTGCTTTCATTAACCTGAAATGACTTTTTAATAGGGGCCAAAATGTGAACCAAATCAATCTCCTGCATCGGGGACTGGCTTACTGTACAATTTAGGGGTGGGTGGGAGGAAGGAAGACAAGAAAGCCTGAAATCACACCATCTGCCTAATCACAAATGCCCCCGTGATGATAGAGCCCAGGACAAAGGCAGAAGAGGCTTCACACTGGCAGGCGCTGGAGAGTGGGAGGTTCCACTGGGAGGACAAGAGCTGGTCTAAAACGTAAGGTCCATGACGGCAGTCTCACACAACCCTGCCTTCCTCTTTCAGGTTTCTCTTACAGTTTAATTTTGCAGAGAACAACCTCATGATACTAAATTCTGTTGAGATTTGGTTTAAAAAGAGAAGACTGGGGTCTCTAGAATACTTTAGAAAATGGCAAACAAATATTCCCCTGAGATTCCAGGACAGCTGATTCCTGCCATCCCTCGTGTATTTACGGTTGCGGAGACCATGGGAAGTATGCGTCCCAGTAGCGTTTAGTGGTTCAGGAAAGGAAACAGATGAGTTTGGTGTGGCCATTTCCTTGTTTATAGACAGGTGCCCCGATCATAGTCCACAGACACTTTGCTCAACTCAGACATCCTAAGCAGAGGAGCCCCTGTTTCCCTATCGGTAAAACCAGACACTTAATCTTTCTACGAGTAGGAGAACCTCAGAACTGATCTGATTCAAATATGGGGCAATATGCTTTTCATTTATGCTGAAGAACCCTACAATGTTGTAACCACTCTGGTTTTAGGCATCCACTTACCCGTGGACAGATTCCTAAATCATATAGCCTCTCAGAGGCAGCCCACAGTACAAACAGCCCCAAATAGGAACAGCCTACACAGAGTCCTATGGCTATTCCCCGGGAGCTTTCCTAGGATTACATGTGGCTCCTGAATCCAGCAAGAATGAGAAATGTGATTGTTAATTGCTCATATGTGATGAAAATATTATATTTATTAAAAACCAATATTAAATTATTGCTTAAAATATTCTTCAAAAGTAAAAACATTGCAGTGTAGAAACAGCAGGGCTCTTGTTAAACAGCAAAGGAAATTGCATGGTGCTCTCCTGTGACTGGTGAACGTTGGCTCCTACTAACAGTCTCAGTCTCCAGTCTCCAGGATCACGAGATGGGCTGTTTCCACTCACCAATGAGAAACAGCTAGATTAGTGGGAATTGCTTCGACCAAGACTATGGTTATTGTGTCTGGAGAAGATGGAAAATAAGAGATCCACAGGTAATATCACTTAGGAGATACTGCTTTATAAGTGAATAAAAGATAATATTGTTCTGGTGAGCACACTGGCTTGATCCTAGCTTCAGGGTCATTAAGGGCAAACAATGGCACTGCTGCCAGTAATCCAGCCACTGGTCTCCTACATAAACATGCAGGGGCTATAAATCACAGGCTACACACTCCTAGATGCCATAAACAAATGGTACAGCCACTTTGGGAGACAGTTTGAAGGTTTTTCTTACAAAACTAAACATACACTTATAATATAATCCAACAACCCCACTCCTTGGTATTTACCCAAAGGAATTGAAAACATGTCCATACAAAAGCCTGCACGTGCTTATAGCTGCTTTATTTATAATTGCCAAAATTTGGAAGAAACCAAGATGTATTTCAGTAGGTGAATGTATAAACAAACTGCTAAGACAAGCAATGGAATATTTAGTGCTAAAAAGAAATGAGCTATCAAACCATGAAAAGACCAGAAGAACCTTGAATGCATATTATTAAGTGAAAGAAGTCAGTCTGAAATGGCTACGTACTGCATGATTCCAACTATACAACATTCTGGAAAAGTTAAAACTGTGGAAACAATAAAAAGATAAGTGGTGTCCAGGGGTTGCATGGGGTAGGGGGTACATAGGCAGGGTACAGAGGATTTTTAGGGCAGTGACAATACTATAACGGTATATACATGACATTCGACATTTGTCCAGACCCGTGAAAGGTACCATTAAACAAAAATTATAGGAGACCATTGTTTTGGACTAAACTCCCACACTAGGCTCCAACAGACCAGACTAAAAATCAAAATGGGGCCACCCATGCTCACCAAACCCAAACCGAGTTGTTATCCAGACTTCCAAGAAATCCAGGAGAGAGAGATAATAGTCTAATTTCCTAAACAGGCCAGGGTTAATCTTCGATCAGCATGATAATGCAGTTTCCTCTGCTTTAATCCTTGCAACAGAGAGTAACCTGAAGTAACCTGATGTTAACCAGTCAGTTATCTTTCTATTGTTCTGTCTCCCTGTCCCTGCCTTACAAGAAACGTGATTTTGAAATGACCAATCTGATTTTGTTCCTTGTTTTCTTCAGCCCCTTCTGTCTGTAAAACCAACCCACTCTGCTCAACTCATTGCAATACTTATTCTATTTTATGGAATGAACTGTTTGCTGATTCTAAAATACCAATAAAACCAATTGAGATCTTTAAGCCAAATGTGTTGTAATTTTATCTTTTGACAGTACACCACCATGAGTGAACTCTAACATAATCCCCGGACTTGGGGTGATTGTGATGGCTCCATGTAGATTCACTGACTGTGTGAAAGTTGATCATACAAATCGAGTCATTTTTGTCATACTCAACTAAAACGGAGTCAAGAGGCCCTGGGGCAAAAGTGCTCAGGGCATATAATGTTTCTTCAAGAATGTAATCTTCTGTGAGCCTGGCTGTTTAATCTACCTGCTGTAACCTGAACCTAGTTTTATCTAACAGCAGCTGAAACAACCGGAGAATAGTTTTACCCATAGCATCACTTACCAATCAAAACTTGCCAGCTCCCCAGAACCCTACTAGTGCCAATGAACGTTCTCAAAGAACAATATGTAACTTTTGTGGTTTTTAAAAGTAAAACCTCCACCCTTGTCTTTGTTCTTCAGACACACAGAAGACCACCTAGTCTGTGTATATGCCCCGAATGCAATTCGTGCTTCCCAAATAACTTGTTTTAACTTCAGACATTCATCTCTATACTCTATTTTACTTCAACATACTGGTGTCAGAAGTGTGACTCCACAGCTGACCCAACTCAGCGAGAATCACCTGCGCTTGAAAACACAGTGTGAGGTAACCGCACCGGGGCTCCTTGAGCCCCCATTTCTGCAAGTTGCCTCTGTTCCCCCTGGTGAGCTTCTCTTGTCCTGAATTCTGATTTTGGTTGAGTTTTGTTTTATTTGGGATTTGGTTGGGAAGGGGTCTTTCCCATCTGGTTGGGAGACCTCCCGTTTAAGAGGACTCCACTCCTTCTGGCAGACATCAGCTGTGAGGTCTGGGGGAAGGGATTTTTTTTTCCTTCCAGCTGAGGCCCCAGTGAATAGATCTTTTCTTTCCCCTTTAGTTGGAGAAGGCAGCTTATTGTCCTTCTTGGTAAGTAAGTATGTCATTTCTGTCGGTGCGTGCATTTATTTGGACTTTGCATGCTCAGTGCTTAGTTTAATGGGGTTGTGTAGTTGGCACCTGTACCTCATCAGGGCCTCCACCTTGCTATACACTTCAGCATTTTTGCCCATCATCTCACATTCTCTTATCCCAGTGAACTGAATATATTAAAGATGACCTGGAATTACAGTGGCCTTTCTGGGGTTCTTTTGACCTCTCTAAACTTGGCCATCTCAGAAGCCAATTAGAATCCTGCAGCTCTAAAACTAAATAATCTCCCATCCAAGTACTAACCAGGCCCGACCCTGATTAGCTTCTGAGATCAGACACGATCGGGCATGTTCAGGGTGGTACGGCTGTAGACTAAAACTAATCTGAATGGAATGTATATCTTAATTGGTACATTGAAGCATCTATGTACAATCAAGAATCAAAACTTGCCTCAATCCAAAATACTGTTTCTGAATTAAGTGAGACAAACAAACAGTTAAGAGAAAAAGGCTTTAGAATTCCCAAATCTTTCTGTCTCTCAGGTGCCATCCACCATCTCCCCTCTACTCTTCACTTTCCAAATTTCCTTTCTTCCCTGTTAAGTCATCTCCTCCTTCTGCTTCCCAACCTCAGAATAAAATCAGGCCCTCTAATGATCCTGAGACTCCCCAGATCTCTTACGTCCCTTGCACTAAAGCCATGCTATAGCCAGGAAATGTCCTAGAGCTACTGAGGCCCCATCACTTTGCTAGTGAATTTAACATTACGACTCTGGCTTACCAGCTTGGTTCTGCAATTTTTACCAACTTGCCCACATACTGCGGGAAAAGGCCAGGCCACACACTGGGTGGCAAAAGCAGACGGGACCAATCCCCAACAGGGTTTAGCAAGACCTGTGTGCACTTCCCTAGAATTTGGCCTACAGTATTGGAAAAAGGCTTGATGATTTACAAGGAATTTACATAGGGCCCTCTTTGAAGGATTTCATAAGTCCATAGACTGAAATAAAATTCAAACTTATACTCAAGAACCAAATGAACCAGTTCATAACTATTATAGTGGACTCCAACCCATTTCTAAATGGGGAAAGGTAACTAACTGTTGAATTTATCACCAAAAACCTCAATCTATTCATTATGCAAGTAAATCTTTAGTCTATCCCATAACAGATTGTACCCGTGTTCCCAATGTAACTGTTCAAACCATACGTCTGGTCCCTTTTACAAACTTTTAGAACCATATATTCAAATTCCCCGCTTCACCCTAACAGTGCCTAAGGTCTATAGAAAAGACCTCAAAATTAGAAATAAAAACTATAAAAAACATAACTTGACAAATTGCAACAACATTTATGATCCTGGCCCTCTAATTGTTGATGGTCTCGAACAATGTAATAATTCAATAACAGAAACTTGTATAAATACTACTGACACCTCCCTATAAATAAGTATTAACACACAAGGTACCCTACATCGGATTACCTGTTGTGCCCCACCAGGATATATTTTCATTGGTGGAGGATTTGATAGTCAACCATATGTGAGGGCAGCATCATGCCTTAATAAATGGAAAATAAAAAGCCAACATGGTTTAGGATATTTCTGAATTATATTTAAATTTAACAAAATTGATTTTGTTAAACCAAATCTGGGCATTGGCTGACACCTGTTAACCTACACCATCATGTTGAAAGAGATACCTCTCCAAGAGTCATGAATCCGGCCAGATGGGCCTCAGCTGTCAGATCCTTTTTCCCCAGATCAGAGTTAGTCACTTAGAAACAATGGTCAAATATTTATGTTCAATAATTGGATCTATAGTTGACTCTAAGCTAAACTTCCCTAGATTCTCTTGCTGAAGTAGTATTGGATTATAGGATTGCTCTAAATTACTTACTAGCTCAACAAGGTAGCATTTGTGTAATTGCCAACACTACTTGCTACACATGGACAAACTCCTCTGGGGAAGTGGAAACACAATTATACCAGATTGAAAAACAGGCTATCTGCTACAAGCCTTATCACGTATGTCTGGACTTTTGTTTAGTTGGCTACCTTCAAAATTAGGTTCATAGTTTAGAACTATTATTCAAACTGGATTTATAATTTTTTTGCATTATCATCTTTAAACTTCGCTCTTATTGCCTGTCTAATCTTTGTAAAGCCAACTCTCCTAACAAGATAATGTTAGTTCAACACTTTGAGTTGATCACTGATGCCTATGGAACCAGTAAGATCTCTGAAATTAATGTTGGATTCTACACAGACCTGCCCTGAGGAAATTTTTCCTTCTGTTCTCTTTGTTACTGAAATATGGCCCTGGTGCCTGACATAGACCACTGTACCTTCCCCCTGACATGGGACGGAGACAACTGGTCAGTTCCATACCACCACTGAGGGACAACTAAGCCTAACTACAAAATGGTTATCAGTGATGCTTTCAGAGAAAGGGGGGAAAACCAGTCAGGGCGTATAACACTGCTCCAAGAATATAATTCTCTGTGAGCCTGGCTGCTGAAACTGCCTGCTGTAACCTGAAACCAGTTCATCTCATAGCTGCTGAAACAACCTGCTGTGACTCTAAGAAGTTTTACTCATTGCTGTCACTTACCAATCAAAACTTGCCAGCTCCCCCAAACCTTCCCAGTGCCAACGAACTTTCTCAAAGAGAAATATGTAACATTTCCCTCTCTCTCTTTTGTAATAAAACCTCTAACCTTCTCATTGTTCTTCAGACATACCAAAGACCACCCAGTCTGTGTGTATGTCCCAAACTGCAATTCTTGCTTCCCAAATAAAATGTTTTAATTTCAGAGATTCATCTCCATATTTTATTTGGCTTCCATGACTGTAGCAAATGTACCGCTCTGGTGGGGGATGTTGGTAATGGCGGAAGCTCTGCCTATGTGGGTGGGGGGCACACAAGAAATCTCTGTACCTTCTGCTCCACTTTGCTGTGAACCTAAAATTGCTTTAAATAATAAAGTCTATTTTTTTAAAAAAAGCCTGCCAAGGGGCAGTGTCTCCTTTTTAAAAAAGTGGGTGGGAGGAAGAAAGAAGATTTAGAGATTATATTAGCAGGGCTATAGATTCTTGGTGCATCAGTTTGGACAACTCTATAGCTGGTCAGAGGAAACCTCTACTGCTCCAAAGTGTGTCAGTACAAAACTTAAGAGAACCCCGACTGCGGCCGCAGTTTCACACAGAAAGCAGTCTGCAGAGGTGGGGTAGACCTCAGGGGTGGACTGAAGGTCTTTAGCACCTTCCGTGCCCAGCTGGCGTCCCACACCGCTGACCTGCGCGATGGCGTAATCCGAGTTGTTGGTGGCCTGCGTGCCCTCGCTCCCGATGATTCCCACACCCACGTGGGCCGTCTGGATCATCCCCACATCGTTGGCGCCGTCCCCGATGGCGAGGGTGGTGGCATGTACATGCGTCTTAACCACGCCCACTATTTCAGCCTTCTGGAGGGGAGATAGCCTAAAAAGGAAGGCAGAAACAACCACTTTTCAGTGTTTTGTTTTGGTTCATTTTACTTTTTAAACTGTTCTAAAAGTCTTTACAAAGCAGTCAACAATAATCTGCGCACAGGCACATTTAAACTGCATTTACTGGTAAATTTCCCAATTCTTGAATCAAGCTGTTTACCTACATGAAAAAGTTCCCACCCACCCACAGCAAAAACAAAACAAAACAACCCCCCCCCCAAAAAAACCCAGAAAAGAACACATAGTAGCCTCTTCAACATTTCAAAGAAATATGCACAATCAGCTGCCCAGCTGACGCATAGACGCTTCAGTTTGCCATCTCCCCACAGCTCCCCCGTGGTCTGACTGTGGCTGTTAATTCGCGTAGGCTACCTGCACGCGAGGAAGAAGTGAAGGCCCACTGTTTCTGAAACTGTATAAAAGTCTCAGTGTGGGATGTAGAGTAGCCTTCAACAATCAAAGTACACTCAAGGGAACTTGAATAATACAAGGAGATGTTATTAGTAAAAAAAAAAAAAGAATGAAGATACCGGTTAGGAGAGTCCAGATTATGCTCTGGTAACAACAAACTAACAAAAGCTAAGTGACTTAACACAGTGGTCCCTAACCTTTTTGGCACCAGGGACCAATTTCATGGAAGGTGATTTTTCCATGGACTGGGGGTAAAGGGGAGGTGTCGTGGATGGGGGGAGGCGGTGCAGAGCTCAGGTGGTGATGCGGACAGGAAATAGAGCTATTTTTTAATCATTGATTTAACTTCATCCTTCAAAATTTAGTATGTTTTCTCGTTAGCATTCATTCAAGATACTTGTGCATAATTGTTATATTTTACTAGCAGTAAATCAGTATTAACTTAATGTATTAACTTGACATTGTATTCCCTAAAACTAACAATAGAAATAGAGATCAATATACCATTGAAAAATTATAAATTGTTTTCTAGTAAATCTTAAACCTGACACTTAGAATTAAATAAGGACCTATTCATTTCAGTTTGAGCATATATTGTCCCAAAAGGGAACTTTGCTTCTGCAAAAACTTACATTTCCATGTCTATATTTTCTTATATAAAACAGTATTAAGCATAGCAGGGGAAAAAAAGAACAGTGAATAAGTTCTTACCTACAACATAATACAGCTCTACACGAGAGGGCCAAATTTAGGAACTTCTTGTTAACTTCAGAATGGAGGGCATACTTCAATGTTTCACCACCAATGATTAGAGCTAGGTCATTTTCTTTACCTAGCAAGTTTCCAAGATCTTCACAGTTCTGATTAATCATTTGTTGTGTTGCCTAAAACAGAGGGGAGATATCACTTTATATTCTCATTTTAAATATAAATGAAAAGATGTCTGAGTCAAGATGGTAGACTGAGCTACATGTTTATCTTTCTTCCCTTCAAAAATTTCACTGAAATGAGACTAAAGTAAATAGATAATGGATAACATGAAAAGATGCTTGACATTATTAGCCACCAGGGAAATGCAAATCAAAACCACAGGGAGATACCACTTTATACCCACTAGCATGGCTAGATTCAAAAAGTCAAATAACAGCAAGTATTGGCAAGGGCGTGGAGAAATCAGAACCCTCCTACACTGCTGGTGGGAATGTAAAATGTGCAGCCACTGTGGAAGACAGTCTGACAGTTCCTCAAATGAATCAACACAGAGTTATCATACAACACAGCAATACCCAAGGAAAATGAAAACCTATGTCTACAAAGAAACTATTACACTAATGTTTATAGCAGCATTACATGCCAAAAAGTGGAAACAACCTGATGAATGGATAAACAAAATATGGTATATCTACACAATAGAATTTTTTTTTTTTTTTGAGACACGGTCTCACTCTGTTGCCCAGGGTAGAGTGCAGTGGCTTCATCATACCTCACAGCAACCTCAAACTCCCGGGCTCAAACAATCCTCCTGTCTCAGCCTCCTGAATAGCTGGGTTCACAGGCATATGCCATACCTGGCTAATTTTTCTATTTATTGTAGAGATGAAATCTTGTTACATTGCTCAGTCTGGTCTCGAAATCCCCACCTCAAGTGATCCTCCTGCCTCGGCCTCCCAAAGTGCTAGGACTAGAGGTGTGAGCCACCATGCACAGAATATTCTTTAGCCATAAAAAGGAATGATGTACTAACACAGCTAGAACATGGATGAACCTCGAAAACATTATGGATATGTGAAGGAAGCAGTTATAAAAAACAACATATCACATGATTTGATTTCACATGAAAATCCAAACAGGCAAACCCATAGAGACAGAAAGTAGATTGGTGGTTGGAGAGGTAGATTAGGGGTGGAGGAAAGGAAGGATAGGGAAGTGATAGCTAAAGAGCATGGAGTTTCTTTTAGAGGTGATGAAAATATTCTAAAGTTAACTGTGGTGATGGCTACACACATCTACGACTATACTAAAATCCAGTGAATTACACACTTTAAACAGATGCATTGTATGCTATGTGAATTATCTCTCAATAACGCTGTGTTTTAAAAAGCATATAAATAAGAATGAATTCACATCAGTTGGAAAATACAGAAGGGTGCTAATAATAAACCAGAAAAGTCAGAGGATTTGGGGAAAATATTTAAAAGATGGGAACAGAATAATGGAGTGAATGTCTGCAAAACAGAGTATCAGGTTTCTAAAAAGTACATTGTGAAGACAGACTCATCACTCAATTCAAGATAAGGGAATTGCCTCCCTTAACTTATTTTTCTTACCCTGATCTATTTTTCCTTCAAAATTCATATGAACCTCTAAAAACTCCAAACTTTAGATAAATGACTCTCATGCCAATGGCAGAGTGGAAGATTTGGGCAATGGAGTATTCCAAGTTTATTTTTGTATATTAGCAGTAAACAATTGGAAAATTAAATTTTGATACAACCCATTTACAATGTTTCCAAAATATGTAAAATACTTAGCAATAAATTTAACAAATTACATGTGAGACCTCTATGCTAAAAACCACAATAATATTTTTAGGACTGTTTTTTCCTCTCAAAAACTTGAATACCATTCATTTTACAAACTTAAATTGAAGGTAAATAAAAAGAATCAAGTTACTTGGGTTTCAGCAATGATATGTAAAGCACTTGGATCTACCACTCCAATCCTTACAGAAAAAAATGCACAAACTGAAAATTGGCTTTTCCTGTACCCGCTGGAGAACTGAGGTCACAAAGAAAACTGCCACCCTCTAAATCTGGAGAAGAAAGTAAATAGAGAGAATCACAACTGAGATCTGCCTCCCTGGAACAGAAGCTGCTGGAGACATAAACTGGTAGGAAGGCTCACATGGTAACATTGGTGAATTGCTGGAGGGCAAGTGTAGATTAGAATTAAAGTAAGAAACTCCTTGGGTTGCCGTCTTAGGAGGCCCCCATACACTTTCATGGGATTTTTCTTGAGGAACCTCGCTAGGTTTTCATAGTTAAAAGGCAAGAAAAATTCCTCTCAAGCAAGTACTCTAGAAGAATTCGGAGCCTCTGGAGTCTACAGCTACAGCAAACATTAAACACAGCCCAACTCCTAGACAGATTAGCACAAAATTTCAAAATTAAAATCCTTTTACTTCAGTTCCTATTGCCACATCCATCATGTCCAGCTATCAACAAAACCTGCTAAAATGCAAGAAAAAGCACCATGTAAAGAGGCAAAGCAGGCATCAGAACCAAATTCAAATATGACACAGATTTTGGAAGTATTGGACAGTGAATTTAAAATAACTATGATTAATATGTTAAGGACTCTAACGAAAAATGTAGACAACATAAAAGAACAGATGGACAATATAAACAGAGAGATTGAAACTCTAGGGGAGAATAAAAAGAAATGGCTAGAAATAAATAAACACTGTAACAGAAATGAAGATTGCCTTCAATCAGCTCAACAGCAGGCTAGACATAGCTGAGGAAAGAGTTAGAGAGCTTGAAGATATGTAATAGAAACTTCCCAAACTGAAATAAAAAAGAATTTAAAAAACTAGAACAGGATACCCAAGAACTGTGGAACAAATTTTAAAAGTTATAATATACAGGTATGTAACTGGAATACTGGAAGGAGAAAAAAGAGAAAACAGAAGGGAGAGTTTAAGTACTACTGGCTGTGAATTTCCAAAACTTAATGGCAGACATGAAAACACAGACCCAGTATGCTCAGATAAATACCAAAAGACTTACACCTAGACATATCATATTTAAACTGCAGAGAACCAAAGACAAAAGGAAATTTTGAAAGAAGCAAGAGGGGGAAAAAAAAAAACTCATCTGTAGAGAAACACAGATAAGAATTACAGCAGACTTTTCCTAAGAAACCATGCAGGCAAGAAGATAGTGGATGAACCTGGAAGATGCTATGCTAAGTGAAATAAGTCAGTCAGAGAAACAAATGCTGCATGATCTCACTTATGTGTAGAATTTTAAAAAGTCAAGCTCATAGAAGTAGAGATAGAATGGTGGTTACCAGGGGTTGGGTGAGGGGGGGTGTCGAATCTGGAGATGTTGGTCAAAGGATACAAAGTTTCAGTTAGCCAGGAAGAATAAGTTCTGGAGAAATAATTCATATATGAAAACTGCTAAAGGAGTAGATTTTAAATGTTCTTCCATCAAAAAAATGATATGTATGTGAGGTAAAGTATATATTAATTAGCTTGATTAAATATTCTACAATGTATATATAAATCATTACATTGTACCCCATAAATATAAACAATTGTTATTGATCAATTAAAAGTTTTAAAAAGCATATTTCCTCTACTGTTTTCAGTGTTTTGGTATTGTCTTCTTTTCCTAGAGTCCACTAGAGCATAGTATAATTAATTTTTCTGTTTTTAGTATATATTTTCTGTTATTCATGTATCTTCTATTACCTTTTAATTGTTATTGATCAATTAAAAGTTTTAAAAAGCATATTTCCTCTACTGTTTTCAGTGTTTTGGTATTGTCTTCTTTTCCTAGAGTAAATTGTACTTTTATTTTTCTAGTATAATAATAAGATGTTCCCTCCTCTTTCCCTCTTAGATGTGCTAATGACATAGTTGGCTTAGGAGACTTCTCATATGCCTACCGTAGTCCTCTGTTAAGATTCCTTAATATATTGAATAGCTTATTAGCGTTCATAGCAATGGTTCAATTACAATACTTGATTTTATTTAATCATCTCAATGAGAATGAAAGATAGTATGTTTTATTTTCCAGCACCATTACTTCAATGCAGGAGATAATTCCATGTATCAATTATTTATTCCTAAATGGCTCCTGAGCTTATTTAAAAAAGTCAGTTTATACAAATCTCCCTACCTTGCAGAATAGATTCAGAATTACCAATCCTTTCATAGGAACTTTTTTGAAATGAATACAGACTTTAACATAATGAGAAATTATACAAACAAATTATACAAAACAAATTATATTGAATTAT